CTAAAGCTGGCTCTTTGATAATTTTCATGGTGTGAATCCAATTTGAAGTTTAATATGTTTATGCTTAGCATATATTTTAATAATCACAATACCCAGACTAAATGGTCTATAAATAATAAAATCTTATTTTCATTCTTATTTTCCAGTGCAATTATTGTCTCATATACTCTAGTCCATTTGTAGAGGCCTGGTTTGATGAATAGATATAAATAAGGAAGCTAATGTCAGTGCTACCAGTTTAGATTCAGTTGTATTGTTTCTGGAAAAACTTTGTCAATACCTATAGCTTTTTCCACTTTAGTAGATCAGATGGGTAAATAGCTGAGGGAGCTTGAGTTTAATTAGAAAAAAGTAGAAGCCAGAGGAGGAAAAAAAATAACAGGCAAGAAGAGATACCTATTTTGGAAAAATAACTCATGATGATTATATTATTAAATAGTAGATTATTATTTTAGTATCATGCAGTCGAAGGATTAAATGGACACCTCCATGTAAGGAGGGGGCAGAAAGTTAAGAGAACTGATGAGAAAGATAATTTGATACTTATCATTCCATGTAATATCATTACAAATAATTGAATCTATAGTAGAATATAACAACTTCACCAAGCTTAAGGTGCTATATTATCATAAGCTGATAAGATACGTGATAACAGTATAAGTACTTTGATAATCTCAGGACTCATATTTCCTTTGCAAAAATTCAAAATGGCAACATCTCTAAATCCAAATAACATGCTAAACCTAATTAAAAAGCTGCAAGTAAAGGGCACGCATCTATATATAGTGAAGCATTCTTTATTTAACTAGGCTGTGAGCGTTACTTCTTTGGTGATCATAGCAAAATGCATTGCTGTACACCAATATCCAGTAAACTAATCATGCTGTTGATATGTCATTTTTTTTGCTCATCCTGCTAAAAAGAAGCTTTTATTTTTCCCTAATTGTTTATCTGACACATCAGTGCAACTATTAGTATTTCTACTATTTTTAAAGTCAATTTGTTTTCTCCAGGCCAAAAGAGAATGCAGGCACTAATGCAAGGAACTAACAGCTGCTCTTGAATTAGAAACAGAGCTGGGTTGATAGACATACCAACATATTTCATTCTAAAGTGTCTAACTACCATTATGAGCAGCTGCATGTATAGTTCCTTCTGAATTGCATACATTTTTAAATTTTGAAAATGTATTAGCCAAGCCAGTTTGCACACAAGAGTTAAAAACATTTTTAAATTGTCTGGGACATTTAAATTCTCAAATGTAAATGTAAATAAATTCGTAAAGCAAAACATTTTAAAAGCTTATTAAATAAATGCAGAACAATTCAGATTGCAAAATAATTGTACTCAAATAAGGATTGTAAAATATCTACCCAGACAGTAAGTACAAAAACACACATTACACTAAAGATCAAATAAACTGTGATTCATTAGATAAGCCAGTATTTGGATGGACTCCAACTATAAACCTAGGTTACAAACCACATTAGCTGAACACACATACAGGTAGTCCTCAACTTACAACAGTTCATTTAGTGACTGCTCAAAATTACAACGGTCCTAAAAAATGTGACTTAATGACCATTTTTCAGTCAGAACTTTTGCAACATCCCCATAATCATGTGATCAAAATTTAGATATTTAGCAACTGGTTCATATTTATGACTGTTGCTGTGTCCCAAGGTCATCTTTTGCAACCTTCTTATAAGCAAAGTCAAAGGAGAAGCCAAATTCATTTAACAACGTTACTAATTTACCACTATAGTGATTCACCTAAAAAACATGGCAAGAAAGGTTGTAAAATGAAGCAAAACTCACTTAACAAATTTCTCATTTAGCAACATACACTTTGGGGTCAGTTGTGGTGGTCATATAGTATTACACTAAAGGGAAGTCAAAAATACGTTTTATGGCTTATAGTGATTTGTGGAAAAAGTAAAATATCTGAGACCAGCTTATCTACAGATGACTTCATGGACAGATCAACTGTATATAATATTTATTTTGCTTTGGGCAGCAATTCAGAAGTAGATGACTATATTTTTTGTACTCTTTTTCTTAGTCTAATCTATAACCTTGATATCCAATAGAACCAGAGATGGGATTCAAATTTTTTAACAACCGGTTCTGTGGGCATGGCTTAGTTGGTGGGCATGGCTTGGTGGTCATGTGACTGGGTGGACATGGCTTGGTGGTCATGTTATTGGCTGGGCGTGGCCAACTCAATATCACTCACATCGAGGCACGCATCTCCTTGCCTGGCCTCTCATGACTGTGGGGATGCTGCAACAGTCCTAAGTGTGAAAAATGGTCATGTCACTCTTTTCAGTGCCATTATGACTTTGAATGGTCACTCCACACGAGCAAAGTACCAGCAAAGAAGGGGGGAAAAACTCCAGAGATGTTCCTGAGACAGGAAGTCTAGTCCTGCCAAGAATGTAATAAGGGTTAATGGAGAGGCAGTTTCTGTAAGCAACACCAGAATGTTTCCTTCCTGCCTTCCTTACAGATTAGGCCAGTAATTTCTTCTAACAACCGGTTCTCCGAACTGCTTAGAATGTTAACAACCGGTTCTAGCGAATAGGTGCAAACTGGTAGAATCCCACCCCTGAATAGAACAGAATAGCAGCATGTCAAAGCAGTATTTCACAATCTAGTCAATCTTAGCCGCATTGCCTAGGGAATTCTGGGAGCTGAAGTTCACACAACTTAATGTTGCTAAGGTAGAGAAAAAGTAGGTTAAAGAATAGTATTTATAAACCCTATTCTGACTGATGTGGTAAATCTGTATTGGGATTATATCACTTCAAATTGAGATGGGAAATTCTCCTGTCAAAATCTGCTTCTCTTATGTACAGTATAAAAAAGAAATATACATATTAAGACAAAAGTTTAATTTGCTGCCCATCTTGTACAATATGACACTGGATACTCTACTACAGCATTAAAACATTAAAATCCTAACAAATAAATATCTCTAGAACAATAAAAACATAAAAATAGAAATGTAGAAGTTATTAGTGTTATTTATAGCATTGATTTGCTGTATTGTGGGAAACAGTCATCAGTAGAATGGAATCAGGACTACGACTATATCAGAATTAGACTACTATATAATAGTGGTTTCACTCGTTTGCCAACATCTCGAAGGAAGAGTTTCACTTTGATATCTGCAGCTCAAGGTGTGAGTGTTGGTATAAGGTTAGTTTGATAACAGCTCTTTGCATAATATACTGGCATAATTCAGAAAATGGCATTCCATGTGAGACAGTATTAACATTCTCATCCATGACAGTGTTAGAAAGTCCTACCACCTACTCTGCTCCACTATCTGCAGTTATAGCAGCTTCTCCTATAACTTGGCCTACTCCTTGTCCAGCCAAGAGAATTTGGTGTAAATGGTAACATTAGTTATGTGCCACCAGGTTGATGATTCCTAAAGATAAAGTATGGCCACAGAGCTTTTAGTACAGTCCATATTAAGAGGACCCCATGATTATTAGCTTAAGAATATTACTACCTGAGATAGGCAAGAAGTATTGCTTTCAATCAGGGCATGTTACTTGGGACATACCAATAATATGATCCAAGTAATCAAGGCCAACCAAGTTGTACCTGAGGGAAAAAGTTATATGTCTCAAAAAAAATCTTCCCTTGCAGTATGATGATGCATTAGAAACTATGGTGATTAAAATTAAGCACTGTTAAAATTAGCTGCTTGAGGTGAAGACTACACTCATTAAAATAAGGCCTGGCAGGATATATGTTCAGATTTTTTTTCCCTTTGAATTTTGTGTAGAAACAGGGGGCGTGCATAAGCGCACCAACGTGCCTACCGTCCCTGTCCTATTGTTTCTTTTATTTTTCTTATATGTACCCATTTCATGTATTCATAACTATGTATACACTTATACTTATCTTGTAAACAATTGACAAATCAAAATAAAAAAATAAAAAATAAACCTAATCTAGCGTTTTAAGTGGTAAAATTTAGATAGATTTATATCTCTAACATAAACTTCGACTGTAGCAAGTAGGAGCAAATAGAGACTCAAGATCAATTTTTTTCTTAAATCAAAGGTGTATGTTTTCCACACTGATATCATATTTGGCTTCAATTATATTTGAAACAAAGTACAGCCAAGTAGGAAATTATTTACTTAAATGTAAATAATCTTAGTAAGTTAAATAATTAATAACTCATACAGAATAATATATTTGGAAAGGGCCATGTCAGCTATCCGTCTCTTACTGACCAAAGTTACACTGGCACTGAAAAAAGTTAATTTATGATTGTTTTTCACACTTAAGACTGTTGCAGCTTTCCCATGGTCACATGATCAAAATTTGGACATGTGGTAAATGGCTCCTATTTATGACAGTTGCAGTGTCCCGGAGTCATATGCTTATCTTTTGTGATGGTCATAAAATATGTCACTTTTTTCAGTTCCCTTGTAACTTTTAACAGTCGTCAAATGAATGATTATAAATCAAGGACTATCTGTACACTACTTGCTTGTTGCCTAATAAGGAAGTACTATTGTTCAGTTCACTACTATCTTCATTTGTATCCTAGTACGCACTTACCTTCACATTTTGCAAAACTTAATTCGGGCTTGTAAAAAACGACATTCATGAATCTATCGATTAATATCGTTTGTTCAGTTTACAGGTATTGCTTTTTTCAATGGATGGATAATTCGGTAATCAAGTACGATTAGGCATCCTGATTACTAAATACCATCTCCGAATAGCAGCAACAACGCGTTTTTATATAGCACCTTTCTGCAAAGGCGTTCAAGCAGAATGACAACATTGTTTATTTAGGAAGAGTTACAAAGCGCTTAAAACAAATCTATTATCCATGTGATGTTTCTATGGTGTCTTGCATACTTGTGCATGTCTGATGTTAGGAGACGATTTATGCCCTCGGCTTGGCGACGCTAACCGTCCCCACTCATTCTTGTTCGCTGACGAAGTATCAGTTAAAAACTAGAACGCGGCGGGCCATCAGATCTCCTACTACCGCAATGTTCCGCGACCGTCTCCGCCTCTTTGGTATTCCGTCACATTCGATATCCCTCCTTCATCCCGTCGTGCAAAGCGGCGCTCGCAATATGGCGGCTTTCGTGCGGCTAAATATAGCTAAGGTAGGTATATGTCCTTACTTCTCTTTTAAGTATTGGGAGGGAAATTTCACTGGTAGTTAATTCTGATAGCGCGTGTTTTTCGGGCGAATGGAAACTTATGGTTTTCGTAATTATTAGAACGGCTCTTTTTATGTGTGTATTTGTCTTTTTCGTTTTACTGCAGCACTTTCTGATGACTACAGCAGTCACTTTATGTTTTATCATGTTCTGCTTTTAATTATCTAGATAAAATCAAATATATAAGAAATAAGCTTTCCACCAATAGCTTCTCTCTTTCTAAATGGAGAAAACGATTCCTTTATCATTTACGAAAATAAGGGAAATTGAATGATAATATACGTGGGGATTTTGATGTCGGTATTTACATTTGAAGAGTTTGGGACTAATTGTATAGAAATTTAGCTGTTTTGGAAAATAATGGTCTGCGTATCTAGAACACTACAAAATGTTAATTAGTTTACTTCAGTCATTGAAATAAGTTGTTGAATTATTTCTGAGGAAAGGAAGGAAAAATATGATACAAATATTTATATGGCTGCCCATCTATAGTATAAAAGTTAGTTTTAAAACTAGCTAAAACATAAAATGGCATCATATACTGATAATGTGGGCTCAGTTACTATCCTGACACCCAGCCAGAATTTCAGGACTTCCCAGAAGGTAAGCATACTACTGAATGGATCTTCATCTTCATTGCTGTGGGGGAGTGGGTGTTTATTGTGGGTTGGGTATTGGAATATACTTATTTTGTGAATAGTGTTTAATATAATATATGTTTCTTAAACATGTGTTCTCTTGTAGCAGACAGAAAGAAGCCCAATATGTTTCTGTTGAAATATATGCCATTAAGTAATTATTAGGATTTGCACAGCATGCTAAATCAAAACCAAGCAAATTAAATTATTTATTCTGTGTGAGCACTGCATATGTGTCTGCAAGAGGAACAGTGATTAGACATATAATTTGAATGGTAAAATTCCTAAGTTTAAACCCACATCTAGAAAAACTCCAAGGAATTTTGGAGAGCTACTGTCAGAATTGTAGCTGTTCAGCATCAGTTCAGTTTGTTCAATGCAGTGAACTCTAAGCTAACTTCATTAGTTGAGTCATGGAGAAAACGTTGTCACTAAGCGTTAACACCAACTTGATGGCACATAATCAGTCATTGGGTTTGCTCAACATTTAGGTACAAACTATTCAAACTTTTAAACAAATATGATTTGTTTTAGCAAATGATACCCATAGATCCAGTTAGTTTTTGCACTGGTTATATTTTCTTAGCAATCTCTGAAGATATGGCAATCTTCTATTCTTATATAATTTATATTTTGCTTTGAAATGACTTTTGTATGTCTAGATTGCCTTTTTCTTTTTGAAAAGACAGTATGTGTGCTGTTTTGAAAAGAAAAGATTGTTTGGAAAAGCAAAGATCATTTGCAGAAGGAATTTCCTGACAATGCAAAGAAAACATATGTCTTTATTAGAAACAAGAAACATATTTTCATCTGTAGATTTGAATTTCTATGTATGTTTAATATGTCTCTAAATGTGGCTCATATTGCTATTTATTTGGATTGGGAAGGTAAAAGTACATAAATAGCTGTAATTAAAAGTTATTTGTATAACATTGCTTTTTTTTATTGAAAGGGGGTAACATGTTTACTGAATGTTGCCCGTTTTGCCCCATCTTGTCTTGTGATCCCAGTGAGGACCAAAAAACGACTTAAAGTTCCCCCTAGGAGCTATGATCCTTTGGAACGACAGCAAAAGCAATTAAAAGCTGCAGGATTGATGATACCTGAAGAGAAGTTGTCACAGTATATCACTATTACCTGCACAAGTAAGTAGTTTTGATAATTTATTCTGTAGAAAGAATTGAAATAGAATTAATCTCTAGAGCAGAGGTCTCCAAACTTGGCAACTTTAAGACTTGTGGACTTCAACTCCCAGAATTCTCCTGTCAGCATAGCTGGCTGGAGAATTCTGGGAATTGAAGTCCACAAATCTTAAAGTTGCCAAGTTTGGGGACCCCTGCTCTAGGGTATATTGAGTCCGAAAGTGAAATAGATATCAATTGGTTGCTTTCTCATTTTTTCCACTCCTAGATATCTTTAAATCCTTTCTCATTTCATATAACAAAATGTACTGTAGATATTGGTATTGTAATGAACCACATAGATATTATTTAACTATAGCAACAAGTGATGATGTTTAGCAAGGTTTGAGCCATTGTAATTTTCCCTGTAATAGCATATGATTGGAAATGAGATGCAGTTATTCAGAATGGATTGTTCTACCTATTTAAAAAAATTGACCAGAAGAAATAAAGATGGCTATAAAAATACAGAAATAACACTTCTTGTTCAAAGAAAGAAAGAAAGAAAGAAAGAAAGAAAGAAAGAAAGAAAGAAAGAAA